GACATCTTCAAGTTGCCAAGGTTGAGAAACACTGATCTAGAGCTTGTGCAGTTGTTTGTGCAATGGTCTTACGTCTGTATCATCTTTGGGAAGACGGTTGTTGGGTTTCTTCGGGCAGAAAACGATTAAACATTCCTCCCCTCCCTTTTTTCCTCCCAAGGAGGGGAGACGATTAGCTGGATTAGCTGGAACGAGGGCAGAGTAGACCATTAAATATGTAAAACTCCTTCTGCAGGTGGGAGTAGGATGTGAGGCTGTGCGTCTGTAAATCCAGATGTTTCTCCCTTTCTGTCTTTCCTGGGCTCACTCTGTAGGGCCAGGATAAGGGAGGAAGATTTGAACTATACTTTATTATCTATACTGGCAAAACAAGGACAACTCCGGCATTCTCCCCCCCCCCCCACCGATTTGTCTAGACGTTCAGCTGGTACAGCAAGGAGGGTCAGCTAAGGTAGCTGCTGCCTGGAGAAGCCATCTGGATTGACAAAGGCAATTGTTTGTCGTCCCCCCCCCAAGCAATGACAAGGGACAGTGGAAAATAGCCTCTGTCTCAGCTGGCCCACTGCATTCCTGAGCACAGAGAAGGCCGGCTGGCTGGCTCGGGTCTCCTCTCCCAGCTCCATCCTCCAGCCCCGGAAAACAGCATTCCAGTGGCCATACTGGTGAGACAGGACAGGCGAGCAGATGGCAAATGCCTGGTCTAATCATTGTCTGGAAGTAATCAAAGATTACAAACCAGCTCCCCTTTCACCTAGACTCATGCATAATGTGGAATGGCATGTTGTTTTCTGAAGTTCTACCGTTAATTGTTAATTATGGAATAATTGTATGATTAATATTGAGGAAATTCAATACTTAGATTTTCATCCTTATCTTCCTTCCTTCCCTCCCTCCCTCCTTCCCTCTTTCTTTCTCTCTCCCTTCCTTCCTTCTTCCTTCCCTCCCTCTCTCCTTCTTTCTTTTTCTCTTCCTTCCTTCCTTTCTCTCTCTTTCTTTCTTCCTTCCTTCTTCCTTCTCTCCCTCTCTCCTTCTTTCTTTCTCTCTTCCTTTCTCTCTCTTTCTTCCTTCCTTCTTCCTTCCCCCCTCTCTCCTTCTTTCTTTCTTTCTCTCTTCCTTCCTTTCTCTCTCTTTCTTCCTTCCTTCTTCCTTCCCCCCTCTCTCCTTCTTTCTTTCTTTCTTCCTTCCTTTCTCTCTCTCTCTTTCTTTCTTCCTTCCTTCTTCTTTTCTTCCTCTTTACTTCTTTCTTTTTATAGCAGTTAGCAATAGCAGTTAGNCAGTGGTCTCCAACCTTGGCAACTTTAAGACTTGTGGACTTCAACTCCCAGAGTTCCTCAGCCAGCAAAGCAAAGCTGGCTGAGGAACTCTGGGAGTTGAAGTCCACAAGTCTTAAAGTTGCCAAGGTTGGAGACCACTGCCCTAATCTATCCTTCTCTAACCCCTGTAACACATACTTTTTTTGTTTGATGCAATACTGTCACAAATTGCAGTTCAGCTTATAACAAAGAACAATGTTCTGCATAGCACAGCAGATAAAACTAGTCTTCAGGAATGATAAAGGAAAATACAGTAAATCACATCAGGTTCAAATTATCCAGCAGATTAAAGCTACAGAAAGCACTTCTTTCAACATTCCCACAAAATTCCCACACAATACAGTACATTGATAAAGTTCTCCTACTTTCAGCTATACCTGTAAAAAAATAAGCTATCCAGCAAATTTCCATGGAGAATTCTGCCCCATTATGGTTGAATTCCTACCTGGAGAGAAGCATGTAGCAACCTGCCCCATTGCTGTTGAGCTAGTGTTGTTTGTATCAATCCGTTGCATAATGCAATCCAATGAGGTTCCCTAGTACAGTGTATCTAGACAAAGAAAGTAAAAGAGAATGTACCCGTATATCAATGGTCACTCATTTAGAACAAAATTTAAATTCAATATAGTGTATGGCTTAATATAAAATATAAATGTACTGGCCTTCTGAAGATTCTGAATTTCCTAACTATACTTCAACCATATGAAGTTTCAACATATTCAATTACACTTTAAAATGGCAAATTATTATGCAGATTTGTATTCGAGTAACTTTTCAGTGTATGGTTAATATTTTTAGTTTTGTGGGGGTTGGATATACATTCACCTCATGAATCTCAGAAAAAAAAATCATCTTTTCAATGGAATATTGTAGGATCCATTGATGCGTGACAGTAATGATATACTGTATATTCTGTGCTGATATCCAGTTATATTAAGTAGAGATATACATGTATCCTATTGTAGTGATATGTGCCTAAATCATCCTGAAATATCCTGTCAACAAATTATACTCTAAAAGGAACACTCATTATAAGATCATAGTCATTTTATAAAATTATAAATTATTCAATAGGTTTTCAATAGCTGTATAACACTTGTAAATGAAGAACATTTCTAATTTCTATTGTAGAAATGCCTACTTGGCTAATATCTGTATAGTATAATATATTATATTTTACAGTGCAATAAAACAATTAACTTGAGGAAACTATTGCATTATGAGAAAATTGAACTATGAGAGTCGTATAATTAAAATGCTATATCGCATTAATAGTGATAATCAAAACAAACACCGCACAACATACAGCTGCCATATAAAAGCATCTTTAAGGATTCAGTATCAATTGCAACCAGCTACAGCTTGAGCCAGAGTAACTCACAGTATAAAACTAAACATGGTTATAATTGCAGCGATAAGATAAACAATCATAGTACTGAATATAAAAAAAATCACTTCCATTAACTGCAGTATTAGGAAAAGTATAAAGAAGTATTTGGATACAAGAGATATTAACTGAGGCAATTATAACTGGATCTAAATGATTTAGTTTAGTAAAATTGTTATTTGCCTCTAGATTATATAAGACACATTTCACTCACTAATAGATATTTAGACCACATATACTGTCGCACCTGCATGCATGGAGGATGAGGGGAGCGCCAGGGTCACGCATGCATGCACAGGAGGGTGGGGTGCATTGCATTATGGGTGTGGGCACGCACATGTGTTGGTGCGTGTGCACGCTTTGGGCATGCGAGGACAAAAAGATTAGCCATCACTGGTATAGGGTTTCCTGCTCTAGTAGGGAGTTGGACTAGAAGACCTCCAAGCTACCTTCCACTTCTGTTATTCTATTATATATGCTGGCACTATTGCGCAACTAACAGGCAAACCAACAGAAAAGTATTGTGTAGGAAAACCCACACAAAAGTGGTTACAGGAATGCACAGGCATGAAAAGAGTAATGGGAGTGCCAAACAAATGCAGAATTAACCATCTCCACTGACATTTCCAAGCAAAAATGATCAATGCTCATCAGTACGCTAGAGGTATAGAATTGTGTGTTAATTTTTACGACACTGTTAGGCTCAAAATTCTGCCTTTAGAAGGTGTGTAGGGATGGATTTCTTTAGCCTACCAAATGTATATGGAGATTCTCAGTCATCCAGGTCTTGGTTATCCCAAAGATGCTTTTTCAAGAGGGTTTTTTTGGTTTTCCTTGAAGACATTTTGGTTCTCATCCAAGAAGCTTCTTCAGTGGATGGTGAAGCTTCTTCAGTGGATGGTAGGAAATGGATGGATTTATACTCCTCCTTGCTAGTCCTTTGCATCCTTTTAGTGAGTCCAGGTGGCCTTAACAACTCTCTAAAAAGAATCCAAATGACCAGCTGTCTGCAAGGCATATCAATCCTTTCATTCCCCACCATCCAGTCAGAAGTGAAGCAGCTTCTTGGATGAGAAGCGAAATGGGTTTAACTTACCAACTGAACTTCATGCAGGTTAGGAGCTCCTCCTCCTCCTCCAGAAAGGTTATTTTATTTATTTAGTTAGTTAGCTTGTCAGTCATGTACAAGTTAACAGGAATAAAAACACAGGAAATGGGTACAAATAAATGGGACAGGACAGGGACGTTAGGCATGCTGGTGCACTTATGCACGACCCTACTGACCTCTTAGACATGATGTGAGGTCAACGGTAGACAGCTTATTTCATAGCCACAGAACTCCCATGGACACCCCACAGTTCTGGGGAAGTCCAGTTGCCTCTTGAAAAAGCATCTTTGGGACAACCATGTCCTGGATGACTGAGAATCTCCATAGACATTTAGGGCAACTACTTGGGCAGGCAGGCCCCTTCTTTGCTCCGACTTGCAGCTGAACACCACCCAGCAATAGGCTGTCAACTGCTTAGAGTCTTAAGGTCAAGGGTCCCCAAACTTGGCAACTTTCAGACTTGTGGACTCCAACTCCCAGAATTCTCCAGCCAGCATAGCATAGCATGGCTGGCTGGAGAATTCTGGGAGTTGAAGTCCATAAGTCTTGAAGTTGCCAAGTTTGAAGACTTCTTGGTCGGCGTGGGCTTGCCATTCATACATCAAGGCTCGCTCTTCACCGAGCAACTAAGGCAAAACAGAGCACCCCAGGCAACCCCCACCCCACCCCACTCCCTCTCGGGAAGCCTCCAAACACCGCGCCATCCGTTCCTCAGGAGCAGCGCCCCGGCTAGAATAAGGAAAAAAGATCGCGCAACAAGCAGGTCACGCACCCGACTCACCACGACTTTCACCAGCGCCGCCATCTCCCCGGCGAGACGCGCTTCCGTTTCCGCGGAACGTCCGAGCTCTTCCGTTTCTCCGCCGCTGCCGGGCAAAAGGGAGGATGAGGAGGACGAGGAGGACGAGGAGAAGAAGAAGGCGCGTTCTGGTTGGGCTCGTGGATAATAGCGCGACCGGAGCGCGTTTCCACGGAGATTCTGTAGAACAGGGGTCCCCAGACTTGGCCACTTGTGGACTTCAACTCCCAGAATTCTCCAGCCAGCATAGCTGGAGCATAGCCGGCATAGCTGGCTGGAGAATTCTGGGTGTTGAAGTCCTCAAGTCTTAAAGTGACCAAGTTTGAACACCTCTGCAGTCTAAAACGGCTGCCTTCGCCCGAGTCCTAAGGGGAGCTGAGCTAACAATCGCCGCCTTCTCCTCAGCCACTTGGAGGCCGTCGGGGTGAGGAAAATAGTTCCAAGCCCTTCTTTATGTTCCTCCTTCGTCTCCTATCCGTTGCGCCCTTGATAAGCTTGCCGATGCCTGTGGATGTAAATCGTGCCGCCGCCACTCGCGATCGTGGGGAAACTTGGGGAGAGAACCGTGGGAGGAAAAAAGAATGGGGAAAGGAGAAGGGGGTATTCTGAAGTGCCTTGTGCCATGTGCTGCTCTGCCTTGAAGCCTCCAGGAGTCGAAGAGGCAAAACAAAGATTCCTGAAGAAATCTCCATAGATATTCCTGTGCAGAATACAAGTAGTCCTCGACTTACAGCAGTTCATTTAGTTACCGTTCAAAGTTACAAGGGCACTGAAAACAGTGGCTTATCACCATTTTTCATAGTTCATGACGGTTGCAGCATCCGCACGACCTTGTGATCAACATACAGATGTTGGGCAACTGGTTGAGATTTATAATAGTTGCTGTATCCCAAGGTCATGNCACACACACACACACACACACACACACACACACACACACACACACACACACACACAGTATAACAGACTCAGCCATGTAAATGACATCCATATGGAATTCATCTTAACATCCTGAGAAAAGGCCAAATCTTCACAGCCTTCCAGAAGACCAGAAAGGTCACAGCCTTCCTCTAAGTTGACCTCTAGTATCTTAGCCTTTTGAAATCCAAACTGGTTTTTTTTGTCACTTGTCCTAAATAAGAATTAGCTAAACTGGCTCCCCTCTCATTTTATATACATTGCAAGATTTACCTTCCAGTTATGTACTCCCTTTAATTCTTGAAGTCATTTGCAAAGGACAAGATATTATCTGGTCCAGGCACATTTCAAAGGATGTTAATTGCTGATCTTGAAACTAAATTTCTCAAATAACTAAATAAACTAAAGAACAGAAGAAAGAAATGAATTTGTCCATTTTTGTTTTTCTACATATCTAAACTTTCATTTGAACATATACACTAATATATACCAATAAGAACTTGCCAGCATTTATTTAGGCATTACAGGTTGCCCTCATTTGGTGAATACTTGTTCAGCAATCTAAGTTACAGAAATGCTGAACAAATAAATTTACAAAGGGTCTTCAAGGTTATGGCTGTTGGAGTATGCCTGTAGTCACAGTTGTGATTCAGCACTTGGCAACTGTCATTACAACAGTCACTACACCCTGCAGTCATGTGATCACCATTTACAGCCTTCAGGGCCGGCTTCCAACAAACAAAGTCAATGGGGAAGGCAGCAGGAAGTCAAAAGTTTGGACTCCCATGTCATTGTGTCATGTGACTTGTTTAATGTCTGCAGCCAAAACTGATGAACTGGCATCATAAAGTCAGGAACGTTCATACGATTTTGCGGCTTCATGATTTCGTCACCTAGTAAGTCCTAATTGCAGTCAGTAAGTGAGGATTACCTGTAAAGATGCAAACATTCAACAAATATACAAATATTATTCTGAAGCTCCTCCATTTCTGCTGGCTAGCCAGTTTATGCTTTTTAAAAACGAAGGAAGAAGCTAGGCATCCCAATGAAAGAAAGGAAAGGAATATCAAAGTGCTTTTGAGCCCCTGATTTAAAAAGCTGGAAAAAGCCCAGGGAAGCAATTGGAGAATTTTCCTTCTGATTATCTCGGATGAGTAGGTAAACAAGAGCAGATATATAAATTAAATTTAGAATTTTAATCTTAATTTTTCTATGTATGTTGCTATTTAAGCTTCCAAGGTATTTATCTTCTCTGAACAAGCTCCGCAGTTGCTTATTTTGTGCAATGAGAATCCCTCTGCAGCAGACTTTCCATTATCAGTTTTATATTTTCTATTGTGTTTTTTTAAACAAGATCATTTTAAATTTCAATCTGTGATAAATGACAGTGTTTTTGCATTCTTTTTTCATTTTATTTTTTTAAAAGAATTTGATTTCATTTATTCCTTGTGAATTTGATCAATTAGGGAAGAAAAACGGGTTATCTTGGCCCCACCACTTAATTCCACAGCATCAGGAGTTGACATGACAGAATTGAGGCTAACCCTAACCCTTTTTTGCCCTCCCAGAGACTTAAGGAAAGCCTGGGGACGGCGAAAAACAAGACTTCCTGAAGTTCTGGAAGTTCAGAAATAGGCATGTTTCCGGCCATTTTTGCCCTCCCGGTGGCTTGAGGAAAACTACCCCTAGGCGTGGCGGGTCATGCGTGCATGCACAGGTGGGCGGGACGCATTGCATTGTGGGTGTGGGCATGCGTGCACATTTTCGGCACGCAAGGACAAAAAGGTTTGCCATCAATGCCCTATGCAGGTTTGTTTTATGGAAAAGTAAAGTTGCTGAAATTCTTTTTTTTTTCTTTCTGTGTAACAGTTAAAGGGATGTTGACTGGCTCACCATCTCCACTGTCTCAAGTTTTATATTTGGTTATTATTGAATCTAGGCACATTTGTATTTTATTTGTTTGTATTATACTGTAGCAACAAGTCACAACTGCAACAGCCTATAGCAATTGCAGATTAACAGATTTGTTTTTACTTTTGCTATATCTTCTGTGCTTTCTTATTATTTTACCTAGATGGAAACTATTTCACATTCACTAGACATGAACCTGTTGGAGTCTGCGGACAAATCATTCCTGTAAGTATTGTGTATATTTAAAAAAAATAGCGTGCCTTTCATTTCACATAAATTGCCATTCATTGTTAAGTTTTTAATGTCCCAGAGGCTGTAATTAACAACAAATGGAACAATATGCATCAGTTTAATAGATTTAATTTAATTTTAATTTAATTTGAGTTAAATTTTTGTCAATAAATACATAAACTGAGCTCCTGAATATTTAATAGCCTTTCCCTTTTATCTCATTAAAATTGTCATTTGCTTACAATTTTGGGGCTCTGGGGGACTACACATCCAGGCCCACCCAGTTGGGTACTCTTGAATTATGTGTTTATGGACAAAAATGCATATATGCATATCTACTTTAACTCCCAATAATCTGCTTTGTCCTATGAATTGAACTTAAGAGGTGTTGGCAGTTTCTCTAGATTGAAGACTGAGTGTATATTTATGCTTTTAGTTAGATGTTTCTTCATTTAAACTAATTTGTTTAAGAATTAGGGCATGTTTTCACATTCCTGAAGCCACCTGCTGAGGAGAATGGGTTTGCTTGTTTATTTCCTGACTATGTGGACTGCTACAATCAGCTAATTTTAATTGATATACAATTCCCCCCAAATCACCATTTGGGTTTAGAAACAAACAATTAAGAGCATTTATAACACTGCAAATACAACAGAAACCAATTCATCATCTGGAGGGATATTGATAAGGTTGCTGATGGCCACAAAAGCATTTCAAACTGATTGCACATTAGCAGAACTCCTCTTTCTGAGATCTAAGAAAAGAATATACAACAAGAGTGTTATAGTATCTAAATAAAAGTGCCTCAGGCAGGAACTTTTGTGCTTCAGCCAACAAAAGAACTTAAATGGAAGGATGCAACAAACTTATAGTGTGCAAGCAGTGGTGGGAGCCTTCTGGTTTAACAACCGGTTTGGTGATCGCGTGCTCTGCACGCATGCACAGTTTTAACAAAACTTAACTTCCACATTGCTTCTGGGGAGTAACACAGCTGAGGCACGGCAATCTGTTCTGCCGCGCAAATCAGATGAGAGGATATAGGTAAGTAAACCGCAGGGGCAGGCGGGCGGGCCAACTTATCATCGGAGCAACTGGTTCACTCCCAGTTGATCGTCGGAGCTACCAGTTCATCCGAACCGACTGAATCCCACCCTGTGTACAAGGATGTCTGCTTGGCTAAAAGAGATTAACAGAATATTCCTGGCTAATTTGACTAATAAAAGCTCTGGGATCTTCAGTCTGAAAAACTTCAGAAAGCACCAGGCTAAGTAAAACTGATGCATCTGTCAACAACAAAACAGCAAACCTACCAAAAAAACCTTCTCCCTGCTTCTTCCCTCCTGTCTACAATATACAACTCATTAGTAAAACTGTATAGAAATGTGTTGTGTTCTTGTTTTACGGGATGGGGAACCTGGCTGATGATTTTATTTCATCAAGCTTTCTCAGGGGAAAGGAAAAAGTCTCCAGTAGTTTCTCAATGAATGCGACTCACCATTAGCATGGATGTTGCTCTGCCTTTTCTCCATCCAATCATTGTTAAAGCTGATCTTCATAGATTTAGTTTTTCATTACTACAGATGAAACTGTATTAGCAATATTGGCCACCATGTGGATTGCTCTACAATCCCCCTGAAATAGCTGTACTTGAGATGTTGTGTGTGTCTTTGTATGCATTTAATGTTGATAAAATTGTACAAAAGAGACTTGAGATGATATGTTTAAAAATCAGAACATTTTCTTCATGAAACCTCTAGCTCAGGTTAGATTCACAGATTAAATATGGTGGGAAGTGCCAGAAGATACTAAGAAGGTCAAGGAGGAAATTAGTAACATAAAATCCTTCTACCTTTTATGTAGATAATTTCTCAGTGTCTGTAACTTTTCACTGGAGCCTTCATACCTGCTGTGTCACCTCCAAACATAAATATGAGAACCATGGAATGGTTTGGGAATTTAGGGTTGATCATCTAATTATCTCTATTAACCATTGGCTAAAATTTTATCTCCTGCTTTAAAACAGAATAGCAGGAGTGCATACTGCACATTGAATAGATAGCTGAGAATATAACTTGAATAGCCCCTAGCTATAGTCAGGGGAGGGCTGTTGGGGGTTCGCACGGGTTTGGGCAATCCTTGAGCTAGGATTCTGCCCAGTTTGGCGAACCCCAAAAAGCCACCCCTGGCTGGCCACACCCACCATGCCCATCCCAGGAGTCTCCACATGACACATTCATCATGGCCTGCATAGAGGCACGGGGGGGGGGGGGGAATTGGGCCTACCGGAGGTTCCAGAAGTCCAGAAATGGGCCTGTTTCCGGCCTCTGGAGCAGTGTTTTTCAACCTTTTTTGTGAAAAGGCACACTTTTTTCATGAAAAAAATCACGAGGCACACCACCATTAGAAAATGTTAAAAAAA